CACCCAGAGGACTGAAAACAGCACACTACAGGGACACAGCCACATCATGTTTATAGCAGCACAATTCACAATAGCTGAACTGTGGAGCCAACCTGGATGCCCTTCAGTGGATGAATGGATTAAAAAATGTGGCATTTATACACAATGGAATTTTACTCAGCAACAAAAGAGAATAAAATGATGGCATTTGCAGGTAAATGGATGGCGTTGGAGAAGATAATGCTAAGTGGAGTTAGCCAATCCCAAAAACCAAATGCCAAATGTGTTCTCTGATATAAGGAGGCTGACCCATAGTGGGATAGGGAGAGGGAGCATGGGAGGAATATGAATTCCAGATAGGGCAGGGGGGTGGGAGGGGAAGGGAGGGGGCATGGGGTAATTAATGATGGTGGAACGTGATGATCATTATTATCCAAAGTACAGGTATGAAGACACGAATTGGTGTGAATATACTATGTATACAACCAGAGATGTGAAAAATCATGCTCTATATGTGCAATAAGAATTGTAATGCATTCTGCTGTCATATATAAATAAAACATTAATCTAAAAAATGCCTGTGCTTGTTTTCCCGTGCATAAAACCTCCAGAGAGACCGAGGCTGTTATGGTTTAGATGTGAGGAGTCCCCAGAAGCTCACTTGTGAAGCAAGCCAAGAATGCTCAGAGGTGAAATGATCGGGCTACGAGAGCCTTAAACCCAATCCATGCTTCAGTCCACTTCATGGATTAACTGGGTGGTGAGGATGGCAGGAGGGGTGTGGCTGGAGGAGGGTCACGGGGTCGTACCTCGGGGTCTATGCTTTGTCCCTGGTGTGCAGAGCTCTGCCTTCCTCCTCCCTGCCCTCCCATGATGCTCTGCCTCCTCGGGAGCCCAGAGCTGCCGGGTCCGCAGGCCACGGACTGAACCTCTGAAGCCAAGAGCCAACAGAGACTGCGCCTCGTCCCGTCATTGTCATCGGGTCTTCTGGTCACAGCAATGCAGGCCTGAATAGAACACAGCCATTTCTCTTCAGATGAGCTACACAGACAGGGACCCTTCACTTCTAAAAAGCCCTCGATCTCTTAGAAAGAGTTATTAAATACTAGGAAGCGGAGGCTGAAGCCATCTGTGGACTGGTGTCATTAGGGATGATTCATGGAGTACTCTATTAGATGCACGTGACATTCAAATCACAAATCAGACACCAAATCACACATACTGTGAAGTAGAGTAAGAAGGCAGACAATCAAAAATGTGACTATTACACATGGAAAAGTACTTCTTCCCAAAAGAAAAGAAACATTTTTCCTGAATGGAAAAATATTTTCTGTCAGTGGGATGACCACAAGTGAGATGTGAAGACCAGGACAGGGGACAGAGGCCCGCTCAGAGGAGGATCAGATGAGCCCAGAGGCTGTTCAGATGCAGGTCTCCCCACAGGTGGAGCAGGGTCCTCTGACCCCCAGGCTGCAGAGCCCCTCTGCAGGGCGGCCACCACACTTTGCTCGCTGCCTTACCTCTACCCAGTGTCTTAGGAAATTCTTATAAATTAAACACCTTCAAAACCACCCACAACTTCCACTGCAGAGTGGGCTGACCCTCTGGGGCTGCTCCTGATCACAGCCACCTCATGGAGGACAAAATGGGCACGTCCTCGACCTCTGAGAACATGTGAGAGGAGTGCCAGGGATGTATACTTTCCTATAGAAGCACCTCACGGGATTGCAACCACAGGTAAAATCCAGATTCACAGGCTGCAAAGAGCTGAGTTTTCAGTGCATTTTCTACTTCTTGTTGGAGTTATTTGTTCATGTTTTTCTTTATTAATATTTATTAAAATTTTAATAACTAACATTTTAAGGAAGAGAAGTGTTAGACCCAGAGAAAAGGCCATTTTGAAGGATGATTTTGTTTTGTTTTTCTGTTTCATTGTTTGTTTGGTTGTTTGGTGGTTTTGGTACCAGGGATTGAACCAGGGGTACTTAACCACTGAGCCACTTCCCCAGTCCTTTTAAAAATTATTATTAATATTATCATTTATTTTTTACTTTGAGACAGGGTCTTGCTAAGTTGCTTAGGGCCCCTCAATCCTCCTGCCTCAGCCTTCTGAGCCTCTGGGATTGCAGCTGTGGCCACTGCGCCTGGCTGAGGAGATGATTTTTTTTTAAAGCAAGTTTTTAATCAAAGTAGTTACAATTTTCCATTTTAGTAATTTTTATAAAGATATACTTGAGAGAGGTCAGAAACCAACTGCAGCTTCTTGCTGACTTCAACATTTGTGGATTAATTGTTCTGGATGTTTCTTCAATGTCCTCGGCTAGGTGGGGTCCTCCACTTAGTGCCAGAGACACATTAGTGAGAAACAGGACCCCAACCAGCTGCTCGTTAGCAGGACTGCTCAGCAATCACTGGGAACTCTGCTGCAGACGTGGCCTTCTGTGCATCAGACAGTGGCCAGTACCTTGGGCAAAGTAGGAAAATGTAGGAATCAGAGTTAAGTCAGCATCAACAACGTACTGAAATCACTCAGTCCAAGCCGGGATCCTCCGTCATCAACATCTGGGTCTCCCTGACACCAAAGCAGACATGGTGGGATGAGCAATCAGGCTCTGCCTGAGCGGAGGTGGGCAGTGGGTAAGACCACGGACCTCCTCGGCCCTGGGGGAGGGGGCAGTGCAAGTGCTTCAATACTTAAACCAAGTTACAAAGTTTGATGTTATGAATCTTGTTAGGGACAAATAATGGCTTTCTGTCCTCAGCTGTGAGAAGGGACCACTCGCATCCCATGCAGCTGTGGCAGGCTGGACAAGACCTCCAGCCAGCACCTGTGCCTGGCCCTTGGTGAGAGAACGGGGTGGGGTGGCACCCGTGGTGGGCACCAGCTGTGCTGTTCTACCCCTCTCCCATAGCGAGAGCCCATAGACCACTTCAAAGACATAACCCAGACGGAGCTCTATATGAAGAGTCTTTGGATACTGTGATATTAAAAATTCCTGCATGTCGATTCAGCTTTAATATTGTAAAGCACTTTGTTCTCGGGCCAGGAATAAGCTCTTGGCCAGGGTGCAGGGTTACAGAAAAGAGATGAGATCAAAAACCTGAAGCGATTTCCCGATAGTAGAAAATAGGTTAGCTGTAGGAATCCTCCCTTGGAGAAAAAGTCCCTAGGCTTTGTTCCTGTCCCCTGCAGTTAGACTTCAAATCTTTGAGAAAAGAGAGGGAGAGAGTCCCCCAAACTCCATGAAGCTCCCAAAGGAGCTGGCGCTGCACCTGCCCTCCCACCCAAGTTGGCAGAATGAAAGCCTGGAGCTCTCGGGGGATAGAGGGATGTTCCGCTGCTCTCTGGAGTCGGGGAACAGGTTACTCATCCCAACCACGAGTCACACCTCACAGGGGCAGCAGCCACAGAGCCACACCAGGCACCCGAAAAGGTGCGACTGCCTTGTAGGAGCGTGAGTTCCAGGAGAGTGCCCTGTGGATCGCACTTTTACTGTCTTTGCTTCCTACCGGTAGCATTTCCACACAGTAAATACCAGGCCTTTAGAGGAAAAGCACAGAATACTCTCTTTCCCAATCCACTTCTCAGACCAAAACATCTATAGGATCAGTGAAAGACGGAGAAGTTGCTGCAGCCGAGTGCTAGTGACAGCTGGCTGGGAAATGAGAGCCAGCAGGCTGTGGGCCGGCAGTGCTGCACATTGTACGCCGTTCAGCCAACTTTGCACACGGTTTTCCGGGAAAGTTCTTCCATGCACTACTTGATTTTTCAGACAACCTCCCTGCCACCCCAGCAACAGACACTCCTCCCCGCTTCCCCTCCAGGAGGGAAGACTCCACCCAGAAAGCTGACGCAGGGGGAGGTGCGGAGCCAGAAAGGCTCACAGAGGCTGCCCCAGCACAGCCTCTTAGTTCCTCCCCTGGCTTCCTCCAGGAGTCCATGAAAGAACGACTAGATGTCAATGAGAGCTCACTCAAACTTTGTCCAGCTCTTTTGAGGCCTTTGGTAACAAAGCAGCTTTGGGAAATACCCATAATTCAATTCCACATCACAAGCCACACGGGACCTGTCACATGGAACCTGCCACGAGAGACCTGCCACGTGAGACCTGCCACGTGAGGTCCTGAGGTTCACGCTGCTGGATATGCAGCTGCATCATTCCCGTGAGGCCATGCCATCGTGAGCTCCAGCCTGCACTCTGGGGGCTGGGACTCTTCCTAAGTCCCTGAGCATGAACAGAACTCCCAGCTAGAAAGTGCCTGTCCTTAACTAGAAAAGAAGTCTAAAAGTGAACTCTAAGTGCAACTGTTTCAATGTTTTACATGAAAAGTTGAGGGAAATGTTTGATACTTTATTTGATCATATGATGATAGTTCTACCTATTTTCATATGTAGAATGTAAGAATTTTGAAGGCTAGATATGAGATTTTTTTTCAAGGAAACTTATAGATTTCCCCGGAAAATTAACCAAACTTGGGCTATAGACCATTTTCAAGTAAAAATGATCTGAATCATTTATAACCTTTTTGGTAAAATATTAATGGAAAAGAAAGCATTTCACAGATTATTATCCTGCTAATTTTCTTACATCTAGCCCTTTTATGAGTAATAAAATAACACAAATAAACCCTCCGGAAATTCACCGATGAAGAATGAGCCACTTTCTCTCTGAAAACCTATGTATACAAGACCAGAAGTTTTCACCTTCTTGGCCAAAGTAAGCACTGCGTCATTTCCACTGGTGACTAAAGTCTCTGGTTATTGAGATTTCCCAGTCATGGTCCCTCCCATGGCTCAGGCCAGGGAGGCCTTCCTGGGAGTGCTCTCCTCCGCCCTGAGTGTGTGTACAAGCACCTCCGCTTTTCTTCCCTCCAACACGCTGTCGAGTAGCCTGAGCCCTTCTCACTGTCACTCAGGGTGCCACCAAACTGGCTTTCCTCTTGAATTACAAGCAAGCATAAAGAAGACAGCCAGAAGAGGCAACTGATTTCCACAGAGCCGGAGGTTGGATCAGACCTACCCGGGCACCTGGGCGTCTTGTGGGCAACAGCGGTGCCGCTGATAGGCCTTCCATTGGGCGTGACGCACCAACAGTACCCCGTGTAGCTGTGGCACTGGACCTGCAGACAAAGGACAGGTGGTGAGCAATCCTTGGACACAGGAGCAGAGCTTGTGGCTTGAGAGGCCAGCTCCATGTTAGTGGAGTCACTTCAGAGGCCTGGGATAGCCAGTGCCACTTAAGGTGACTCCCTGGTGGGTGGCAGGGTTTGCAGATCTTAGAGGGACGAGGGTGCTGGGCACCTTTGTTGTGAAGGACCTAACTGCCCTTTACCGTCCAGACGCCGCAGCACAACCCTCACCCTGCAATGGGGAAACTGAGGCCTGGGCAGGCGGGAGCCTGTCTGCGGTGGAGCGCTGCGGGAGGGTGCTCCTCCAGGGAGCCTCCTTGGCCTCCAGGACCAGGCTCAGGCCCTGCTCAGACCAGCAGAGGCACCCTCACTCTCCATACCCATCTCTCAGTGGTCAAACGGCTGTGTAAGACAGGGATCCCACGCTGTCACCTGAAGGTGACCTGGCCTCTCAACCGTCCCTTGGCTAAGGACATGACCATAGGTAAGCCTGGCTTGGTCAGCTTCCAGCCACAGGCCGCCCGCTGGGCTGTCTTGGAGCTCCCTCCTGGCTCTGACGCTGCGCATGCGCCCTGTCACCTGAAACCCAACCTGAACAACCCGGCCGTTCCCCTGGTCTAAGAGGCTGGCCGAGGCTCTGCCCACGCCAGGTTCTCAGGCAACGACGGGTGGACGTGGGCAGCAGAGCTGGACACTGCCCGATGGGGCACAGACGTGTTCAGCCCCCCTCTGCGCACACAAGGCTCCTTGGGGAGACACTTCTGCGGTGCGAATGGGAGGCCTCCCGGGGCACCCCGGCCGCTGCTCCGCCAGCTGCCCGCCCTCCTGGCGCCCTCCGCCCTCACCGCCCGGGTGGCACGTCCCCGGCAGGGTGGTCACCTGACTGTAGGTGCCGTCATCGTTGCACTCGGGGATGAACACCTGCTGGAACTCCTTCCGGGCTTGCTCCTGGGTGTACTTCCTTTCGGCCACACACCTGGAGACGTCTGCAGGGAAGGACAGACAGGGTTACGCACCGGCAGGGAGCTGCGAGACGCAGACACGCACCAGGTTGGCAGGGGCTTCCCGGTGAGAGGGATGCTCCCGCCTCACAGTCCTGCCGCCCGACAAAGGCCACGCAGTGAGAAGAGGGTCGTTCTCCACACTGGATGAGAGGGACACTGAGGCTCAGTCAGCTTCCTGAGCACATCTGTGGGCAGCAAGTGGACCTTGCTTCCTGAAGATGACCCCAGTCACAGTCAGGTTCTCCTCAGGCCCAAGGAGACCCACCTGGGCCCACCTGGGCCCTTGAGCAGTAGTGGAGGCCGAACACCTCCTGGGAACAGGGACTTTGACGCAGGTGGAGTACTGGGCCTGCCCAAGCTGAAAGCACCTGGCGGAAGAGCCACAGCCCATTCTTCCCAGGTCCCCAGGGTCCCAGGTGCACAGGAAGTTTCTGTCTCTTGCCAGGAATCCTAAAAACCCAGCAGGAAAGGGCCAGGCTCTGCCCCAAACGCAGCAGTGAGCTAGTGCACTTGACGGCAGAAGGCATGGTGCTGCTGGTGCTGTTGAGGCTGGAATCCCCAGGGACAGGAGGGACTCAGGAAACCTCCAGGCTCCCGGGGCAGCAGCAGGTGCTACCCCCTGTAGAGAACTGCGGATACTGTGAAGATGGGCAGGTCAGCAGCAAGATGCACACACTCCAGACCAGCTACTTCTCCCCACAGCTTGCCCTCAGAATGGTTCCATCCCAGGGACCACAACCCTGGCGAGGAGTTCAGATGCCAGCAGGCAGATGGAAGGCCTGGGCCTCCAAGCAGCCACGCTGACCTCTCCGCATCCTGGGAGGTGAGGGGGGCCCAAGGAACCGGCAGGAAACTGTGTGGACAACGGCATGCTGTTCAGCACCAGGCTCCACACCCAGGGCCACTACCACAAGCAAGCACGCGCCTGGCTTCCTGGGCCCACAGCTGGACACAGCTCCTTTGGAGTTCAGCCCTGGGAGGAATGGCTTCCCCATGTTTGCAAATGTTTGGGGCTGAGACAAAAGCGGCCAGGTGTCTGAACAATGCCTTTTCACGCAGTCTCCACTCCCCACCTTCACAGGCTCCTCCCCTTGACACTGGTGAATAGATACTGGCAAGGACACAGTGCCACCGGCACACCAGTGGGGGTCCTGCAGGTCTGTGGCAGCTCTGAGTTCTACCAGGTCTCTGCATCTCTTATCTTGGGCTCTCTGTACCACTGGGGCTGCACCCAGAGCTACAGCCTGCCCGTCCAAAGACCTCCGCTCCACCCGGCCTCTGCTTCCCATCTGTCCTGCATTCTGGCCTGGTGGTCATCTCTCTGCAACACGAGGTTCTAATGCAGTCTTTTGGCTGAGGAAAACTCACAGCAGTGCTAGGTTTGCTTCCTTGTTCAGTGAGCCTATGGCTGACTGTCTAAGAGGAAAAGCAACCTGGGCTCTGGCTCACAGGTCTCTAGCAGGGGACCCATTTCCAAATATTTGAACTCTCTTGGAGTATGTCAAGAAAACGTCACTTTTCCGCACAACTTGAGGCCTCTAGGTTTCATATTTGCCACTGGTTAGATAGTTCTCACACCTGTAGCCCTGGAGATTATTAGATATTAAATTCTAAGATTGCATCTAGAGTACTAAGGACCATCAGTCAGCGCAGACAGTGACAATAGCAGCATGAAATCACAGGGTCTGTGTTATAGTGCCTCCAAGTAAGTCTGCAGTCACCCTGTGAAGTGTCGGAAAGCAAGCTCCCCACGCCGCTCAGGCCACCCGTCAGTCACCTCATCCTGGAGGTCTGCTCGGGCACAGTCCTCACTCCCGGTGAGCATGAGCAGCAGCCATGCAGACCTGCCTACAGACGTGCCCAACCACAAGGGGCCCAGCTATGGAAAAGTCATGGCTCCTCCTTGCTCCTAAATGTCACTTGGAACTGCTGTGTGCATCCTGTGCTCCTCAAACCAAAGATACCAAGACACACCCCACCCCTCCTGTCCAAGCTGCCAGTTCTGCAGTCACTCTGCCGAGAGCGGAACTCAAGGTTGGACATCCCCCGGTGCTCACTCACAGGCCGTACATTCATGTCATTAGGTTGTGATTAAATTATAGGTCAGGCAGATACCTGTGTGGCCTTATTAAGATTTTACTCTGGACACTATTTCTAACTATTTGATTATTAAATCCTCAAAATACATGCAAAATTATTTTTTTATCATGGTCCAACTAACTACATGTGACATAAATTTGCCACCTTGGCCATTTAAGGGGTACATTTCGGTGGCACTTGGCACATTCTCTGTGTAGTGCGAACAGAATATCACTGCAGCAAGCATGTTGCCTAGCACCAGGACACCCGTGTCACCCTGAAAGTGTGCACCTGAGGCAGTCCCTCCAGCCCTGCCCAAGCCCAGAGCAGCTAATACACTCTCTCTGTGGACTTACTGTTCTGGATCATACAGTATGTGGACTTTGCATCTGTTCCTTCACATATCACAACATTTTCAACATTTGTCCACGCTACAGCGGGACCAGATGTTCACTGCTTTTCAGAACTCAGAAATGTCCCCTTGCATGGACAGGCCATGCTTTGTCCGATCATCTGTCTATGGACACAGGTGTGTCCACCATTTGGCTGTTGTGGATGGTGCTGCAACGAACATCCAGACACGTTTCTCTTTATTTAATTCCTGCCTTCAAGTCTTGGGGCGCGTGCCTGGCCCCAGACTCACGGGTGCCACTGTCCATTCTGCTTCAAGTAGACCAAAGAAAAACTCTGTGATTCAAAGTTGGTCACATGTTTTTAGAAACATTTTGCCATTTCCAGAAACAGCCAGGACTTTATAAGCCGAGAGTCCCTCACTGCTCAGCAGACGTCACCGACAGGATTGTAGCAGCCTGTTGGTGGACGTTTTTTTAACACCAATGGGTTTTACAAGCAGTTGATCCTGCTGGTGGCTGCTTTTCCCTCAGTTGCAGAGGGGAGTGAATGGCAAGGAGGTGGCGGGACAGCTCCCAGTGAGCGCACATTGGCCGTGGAAAGCACAGCGTGCCGTCCACTGGGGGGAAATGAGCGGTGCTTCATGGTACTCATTCTGATGATGGCTTTCTTTCAAGCAGGAAGCAAATAATTTCCTTCTTTGCTAAAATCACTCAAAACAGGATTAAGCAGTAATCAGAAGAGATGGCTGTGCTGAATGTTCCCTGCAGAGGGACTTTGGAGAGCAGCAATTAAAAGGATTAGTCAAGGATGGCCGAGGAAGCTGGCCAAGGCTAGACAGGCCTCGAGACAGCCCCAGGCCCGGGAGCTGCCTCGGGCTCCTGGCCACCGCCGCAGGCTCAGGCCGGGTCTCCCTCCCTCTCCTCCCCTGGCCCTCTGAGATGCAGGGCAGCACCACGGCAGTGCCCCTGGCCTCGGAGCAGGCAGAACCTTTGGTGAACAGGTGAAAGTTTTGTTGTCCATCACGTGACAGGGAAGCAAGGCTCCTCTGGGCGTGGACAAGCTTGATGGTAGCCCACTGCGTGCTCACAGCTAGGGGGTGGCCACAGGGACTCCTGGGGTCAAGAGCAGTCCTGTTTTCCATGGCCCAGGCTGAGCCTGGCACAGACTGGGCTGGCATCGCACATGGGTGGAACGAGCGAGGGCAGCTGGTATGCAACTTGCACTCCCCTGTGGGGGCCACAGACAGGACCGCCTCGGAGCAGAGGCCTCTCTTCACTGCACCAAGAGAAGGCAGACGCCGAGTTCCAGAATTGAAACGTTGTACCTGCGTGTGGTTTTGAAGACCAGACTGGGAGAGCAGTCAGCAGGGTGCCAGGCAGGGCCTCCACCAGGGCCAGCAAATGCACCAGGCAGTGTCTCCCAACAGTGGCCAGCCCCTGTACAGCTCCGTGACAACAAAGAGCACGGACCCCAGAGCCGGGGGCAGGGGCTCAATCCTCATTTACATTCACAGAGGCAGAACAGAATACAGCTAACCCCCCAGAGCCTAACTGGGGGTGCCCAACGGCAGAGGAAAAGTTGGAGCCAACGGCAGGCCACTTCCCTGTGCGTGAGGTTTCAGACAGGTGCTGTCTCTGCAAGGAGCCGTGGCTGCCACGTGTCCCCACGAGGATGACAACGCTCTCGACACCCCAGAACAGGTCAGTGTGTGAGCGCCCCAAGGAAGGCCCCCCACGGGAAGTGTAGAGGCCCACGGGAAGTGCAGCTGTCACCACTGGCCATAAGAGCTGAGGTCGTGCTGCCCTAAGGCCACAGCCCCCGAAGAGAGCAGAGGAGGGCCCAGAGGAAGGACCCTGTGCTTCCTGCCACCATCGCCCGAGGCGGGAGCCCCTGCTGCTGCTCTCCCAGGGCTACACAGCACGATTCCCAGCCGCTCTCCTGGCACCAGGGCTGGCGAGGGCAGCGTGTCTGGAAGAGACTCACCCATCACGCCAGGACCCCTGTACACCCGCACACCGCACCCACTCACTCCCAACATGTCAGCCACCCAAACACGCTCACACTCACTTTTGCTCTCACACTTACATGCACACACAGACACAGCCATACCAGTACATGTGCACACATGTGCTCACGCTCACACATAGGGTTACACTCACACCAGTACACACACACATTCACACATAGATACACATTCACAGAAAGGCACATACACATGCACACTCACACAAGGCACACTCACACTCATTCACACCAGCATTCACATGTACTCACATTCACATGTGCACACTCACACACACATTCACTCATACTCGAATACACTCACACTCACATACACTCATTCACACCAGCACTCACACAGGCACACTCACACATATGCACACTCACAAGCACTCACACGAATGCTGCTCACACGTACACACCACATGCCAGTTTCTCTGGAGACAGCTCTAGGGCCATGCCTGGCGCACAGCCCTCAGGAGATGCTGCAGGTGCCCTTGGTGACACAGCATGCCCTACTTCAGCTCCTGACCTGTCCCTCTGATCTC